GCAGCGGCACGGAAGCCTTCAGCATGCCGTCACGACGAAGCAGGATGATGAGGAGATCGAGAAGCTGAACGGGCTTCTCAAAACGAGCTATGGGATTTACGATGAAAAGATGAAAGCGGTCAAGCGTGCAATTCGCCCGGCGCCGAAGGCCAAAGCCAAGGGCAAAGCTCAGGCCAAGTGTGCGGCTGCTGTCTAAGGCAGCTTTTCTTCATCTCCGGTGCGTGGGCTTCGTGCACCCGTGACTGTGGAGGCTCATAGAACCTGTCTGCGCAAGATGTACAACTCCAACAAAAAATCATACGGTCCTACGTCCGCAGTAGCTAGTCACATTAAGGGGAAGCAGATGGGCCAGAGCAGCGTGTGCAGTCTGCAGGGTGTGCAGATTTTGAGCACCCGGAGCCTTTCAAGATTTGGCCCGCATCACCGAGCATCGCTTGAAGCCATCGAAGAAAAAAAGGTTCTGAGTTTCCTTGCTTATGTCCCGGGCAATATGCAATCTGTCGAAACCGAGTTTGCTGCGCAGGGGTGCCGGGCATCATCCGCGAGCGCTTGTTGTCTGGAGTGGGTGCAGGCGAAACTTTGTTGCACATTATGCACTCTGGTTCGGTGATGTGTTAAATCCACTAATCAACGAGGTTTAGAAATTAATGGGTTTGTTAGGCAGCAGTGGGCAAGGTCCAGGACTCGATCAAGATTTTGTGTGTGTTCATTGCTAGCAGCAGCATGAGCTGTAAACCTAGTTTCCAACACCTTTTGCCCCTAGGCTAGGCCGTCGGACCTAAACCCCTAATGCAAAATCCTAAACCAGGCTTGACATCACCAATACGTTATTGGAGGGCCTCCTTGTTCGATTCAGGCCAGTATGCAACTGCACATTTGTTTCCCGAAACGCACCATGTGACCTAATTATACCCTAATCCCTGAGCTTAGAATAAATTCGATTTCCCGAAAGGCACCTATTGGCCCAACACTTCTTCATCAAATTTTCCCAACTGCAGCAAGTGACCTCAGATCCTAAACCGAGGTTAGTAGTTAAACTTCTCGAAACAAAGCAATCGACCTAACACCCTAAATCCTGAGCCTTAACAACCGGAATCTAAACGCCTGAAGCTTGCACCGTGAACTCAAAACATCTCAAGCCAACGCAAGGAATGGAGCGCGTCGACTGCCCAAGAGCTCGCCGACTGTGTGGCGATAGATTCTCGGCTAACATACCTCGATGGGCTTCAGGAAGTAAAGTGCGATTTCTATATAGATCAGGGCTCAGGCTTCTGTGTCGGGTCGCATATTGAAGGCTTGCTTGCACAATCTGAGGTAGGAGTATGGACTGCAAGCACTCCCAAAAACCCAAACACTACGGCCCAAAACCCTATCATCGCCCAAAACCCCT